TAATTTATGTTTCGTTGCTTTAACTTCGACTAGACAGTCTGCTATCGAATGCAAATTATGATTCATCTGCATGTGTTAAACATAAATATTTATGCGATGATTTAAAGACGTTTTTTCAGTCCTAAAAACTATGAACTACTATATAGTTTGCAATTCGTTATCATGAGTCATGATAACAAATTAATATAGTCCTAAGCAAGCCATTTCAATAAAAAAAAAACATTCTTAACTCACAAGCGCATTAAAATAAATTTTAAAATCCAGCCATTACAAATAAAATTAATTTTCCTTAAATTGAAAATAACATTCTATTTCAAACGGGAATTAAAAACCATTTGACCATTTTCCTTAAGCATATGCTGAAACAACTGATAGTTAATTGTTCTCAAACATGAACTACCCGCCACCATACACCATGATAAATAGCAATCGGTCAAAGATTTAAAATGGCAGATTAAATAAATATTTGAATGGCTGCCATTTTTGACTCGCTTCTCCGTTTGAGTTCGGATTTGTGGCAATTTATTTTACTAAATAATACCTTTAATTTAATGTCAATCTCGACCTATGCTGCTATTTAAGAATGTTTTTTCTGACTCCTCGTGGGCCGTCCTCGGGATAAACAAAGTGACAATAGCTTAAAAGAGTAGACATTTATGGTTATTATTGATATACCAAGTCTCATAAATTTATCTATATTGGTAAAAGATATATGACATGATTCCGGGACTTTTTAACCACATTGTATATTTGTTCCGGGGCTATAATACATATACAATACAATATATATTTACATATACATATGCAATACAATACATTATAGAATTCTATAGCATTGAGTAATTATGTCTCCATTTGAAGACTCTATTTTGAAGAGCTTAAAAAATAAATAATTTAGTATATTGAAGTGTTTTTGTACGGGATATTGGTTACGGAGAAAATTCAAAAATTGATACACTTAAAATGACCATGCTATTCTTATGGAGAATAAGTAAACTGTTGTAGTTTGCTTATGTCTATGGATATTTTGATCAAACTTGGATAATTTATTTATTTTTTACTAAGCTATTAATATTTTACTAAAAACACACTTTATTACCCACCCCGTAGCAGCAAACCTACTACTACTAGGTACTTGTTGAACCTAATGTTGTTTAAATAGATTTAATTGAAAATCCAATCAGTTAAATGGAAATTCGCTTAGTCGCTGCAGGTTTGCTGCGACGGTAGTATTTTATCCCATATTTTTAATGATAGTTTTTTGGAGTAGTATGTTGAAACAACAGACGAATTAATTTAAATATCATTATATTCCAACATATTTTGAGCAAGGGCGGTTCTAGACATATACTTTGGGGGGAGGGGGGTCACCCGTTGTGTCTGGGAAAAATTTTGGAAATAACGTGGTAAAATGAGTGGTTTTAAAGCTATTTTGTTGTCTTCAAGCTTCCCAATTTATTTAAAGGTCAAAGATTTTTTTTTATAAACGTGTACAATGTCATTTATTTTTGTAATGGCATTATGAGACTTGTGGTTTTAATTACGAAGGAATACTGCAACCACATTATTGATTTACGAAAATACCCTTTCAACTGGTGCCGATGTCCATGTTAAACAGAACGTTTTCAAAATCAGACCAAGATTTCAAACCAGAGAACTTATTTGATCTAAGAAGTGTTAAGAATTTGCACCCAACACGACTGCATTATACGTGCCCAGTGCCCAGTAAGCATCAGTTACCAACTAACGTTGCCCGTTGCCGTCACTGCTACCGAAGAATTGGTTCTCAATGCTCTACGCCTGTGGCATTTTACAAGGGGTCAACGCGAGAATAAAGTTTTTGTGCAATGTTTTTGTGGTTGTGCCGGGAATTAAATCCGTCCCTTCCACATCTAAGTCTGAGACAAAACCATTTTTTTCGTGGATAGCAACATACCAATTGGGATGTGCTATTTTTGTATATGATATCAGGTGCTCTAAATATGAATACTATTTAATATTGAAAGTTTTAAAATTTACTACGGTAATCATTGAATTAGATTACTGTAGTTACAAATTCCTAACGCCGAACTCAGTGATAATTTAATAATCATCTGCCTTTCAAGCTTTGACTATTGATAGAACTTCTTTTCTTTATCCAACCCAATAAAAATTTTCAATCCAAAACATATGAAGTGTTCAGGGTGTTCCCTGTATAAACCAATTCGAAGTCACTGAACTTCGTATTTCTCATAAAAAGTAATTGATAAAATAACTCATCTTTAATCCGTTTGTTAGTTTTAGGAAAAAAATTAGCTGTGTAAATATGAATGATAACATTAAAAATTAAATGAGAAGAAGAATTCGGCCCAAAGTCGAACACCAGCATCGGACACTGCCGTTGCCGTACTGAAAGCGTCCGTCGTCTGCCGATCTTCCCTACTTTTCATAACGTACAAAAAATAGTCGGACTAGAACGATCCCGAGTTTTAGCTTAGAGTTTGTAATTATTCCCTTTGTTCCCCACAAGTATAAGTAAAGACTTAAATGAATTTGGTAGAACGATTTGCAATAAAAATTATTAAGGTTCTCCTTGTATAATAGTTAATGTACCTATGTACAAATATTTTCGGGGGGTCACGACCCTCCTGCCCACCCCCTGAGACCACCCTTGATTTTGAGAGGTATTTTTGGGGCTGATGCCCAGTTGCACCGATGGTCAAGGGAATTTGTAAAGGTCGACAAAGTCCTCCCTCCCAAGAGTGCCCAGTTGTACCTAACCTAACATAACATAACCTAACCTAACCGTTTAACAACATTTCAATGGGAAAGGAGGGTGTCAGGGATCTTTGACCGCCGCACGCCAGTGCAACTGGGCATCACCCTAAAATGGCTATCGGTGCAACTGGGTAACTGCCATTTTTTGATTTCATATTGACTACAGTTTAATTAATTGTATTATTACAGTATACTCGAATGTCTTTTAAATACGATAAACAAGTAAATACAGTAATTGAATACGAAAATATATGCTCGCGAGTTGCAATTTATTACGAAGATGACTATTTCATGATTTTCTCATGATTTCAACAACTCATGTTTTCTATTCCGTTGGTGCTAATTATTTCATTTAATAGTAAAAGTTCTGCAAGGATAGTGTGCAGCCTTATTAAGAAATTTAACCGTAGAAAAAAAACTGTTTCATATCTCCGTACACAGAAAGTATCTGTCATAAAAGAAACAGCTGATACCAAAGAAAGTAATCGTTTCCCAAGCTCTCCCTTGGCTATTCAAGACCACGACGCGACGTTAATTTGAGTTACTCTTATCTTTGTGATAGATAATTTAAGTAATTAAGTGCAAGAAATCTTCTCTCTATCACATAAAAAACACACACGATATTCAGGCACCCGACACGACTATTTTTTTAATAAGGTGGTTTGTGTATTGGTCACTTTGTGTGCTCTCTTTCTCCATCTAAAAATTGTATTTTTATGTCAGCGTGATCCCTATAAGCTACTGTAGGCTAATTCATTGTTAATGGTTTACATGATTTTAACTTCGATATCGAATTATATCCACTGGTACACTAGTTAAAAGGTACACAAGTGTTTATGAATTTAATTGAATTTTATGGTGGTAATAAATTAAATACCCTAAGTAGCCTACTCACCACTAAAGAGTATTTTCCACTAATTTACACACAGAAAAAATGCAACGACTCCTACCGTTTCACATTAAACTCTTACTGGTCAAATCACTCGTATTTCCACACTTCAACTACTGCAAGCAACACTATGGTCAGTGATATGACTGTGACCTTGGCAAAAAAATGCAACGTGTCCACAATTATTGCATTAGATTTTTGTTTAATATTAGGCGTGACGATTACGTCACACCTTATTACATAAATGAATCGATTTTGAAATCAGATGACATCAGAAAAATCCAAATACTTCAATTACTCGTTCAGCCAACAATCTTGGAACTCCAAATTATTTAGCCAAAAAATTAAGTTTTAGCGTGAAAGAAGCTCAAGAAATACTCGCTCTGCTCGTCCACGCTGCGCATTCCACATCACAGGACGACTGTTAATAATAATTCTTAACCATGCCGCCTATGGAACTTTGTACCTTATCCCATAAATCCTTAGAAAACCGATGCCGACTGAAGGCAGTGCTGAAAGAATATATAACCGGATGACCGTGGCGTGGTAGAATAGCGTGTAGTAGGCCTGGGTGCAGCAGAGGGTGTGTGTATGTGTGATTATGTGTCATGGAAAAGTTCACCTCCAGCCTCAATAAAGAAGGAATTTCATTTAATTTAGCCTAATCCCCGCACAGCGAACTCTCAATTGCTTGCCTAGTAATCTGAAGATCGTCACTTCTAGTATAATACAAGTAGAGTCTCTTTTAGAAGTTTCTTAACCGAAGCCAACTATCTAATAGTACTGTATTAAAAATAACCTAGAATGTAAATGCAAAAGAAATAAAAAATAATAATAATAATCAGTTTAACGCTGAACAAACCCGTAAAAACCCCATCCTGTACCTCATTTCACACTTAACGTCACGAGATTGTTTTCACCTCAGACAACCTAAACTTTATCACACTTTTTTCGTCACACTATTGACCCAACAAGAAAGACCATCAAATATTGCAAATTCAAAGAAAATCTACGCCAGCGTAACTCAGCCTTCCTCAGCGTATCAGCAATCTTTGAAACATTGTATTGTAAATTCTAGGAAGTTTTACGACATAAAGGGAGATTCCCTAGTTGAAAGAAACCATATCTAGAAAAAAATGTTTGTGTATCAGGCGTAGTATAAAAAAATCTTTGTAGTTCTAGCTTTCCCCTTTTTAAGGTAATTTTTAAAATTCATTGCCCCCTAAGCTGCAAAAAAAAACTTATCCAGAAAACAAATCAGGACTCTCGGGCTAGAGGGATGCACCTACACTGTATTGTATTTATGTTGCAGCTATCATCTCGGAGGTCATGGCCACTGATAAGACATGTCGGGGCAGCGATCGCTCTCATGATTTACTCCTTCACTCCTGCAGTGCTTGTGTCCGCGATCGCGCCTAATCCACCCCTGTTCGGTAGTGTTGCCATTCTACTCCTAGCCCTCACTGTTCTCGGATATTACTTCTATTGTTATTTTAGAGGTGAGTACTTTGACATAGATATAATGTTTAAATATCCTCCGAATATGTATGAATAGTTTAATGAATAGTTGAATAGTTTTTAATCGGTTGTTTGATGTCGTTTTGATGAAAGATTTACTGGACGAATTTATGTAAATTCTAAGAATAAATAGCACGGTTGGAATGGCTTGTTTGTCGGTTTTTAAATGTTTTTCGTCCAGTTATAAAAATGTTCTTGTTAATTAATAACAGTTTTCGAACGCTATGTCCATTGCAGTATAAGGATTGTTGCACTCAATGGGCAAAAACTGTGGGTCAAACGCAAAACCGTCAAATTATTGTTGTAACAACTTAACCAATTACCGTAAAATAGTTTCATGCGTGTTACAATTTTGATAAATAACTATAAATCCGCCTGTTCGGAATCCCAAAAACCGCGAAATTCCGTTGAATATAAATTACCTGTAGTAAATAGAAGGCCAAAGATCTTAATTGCATTGTGAGTTATCCAATTCAAAGTTTAAAATCAAAACCTATGTTCGTACTCACCAAAATAAGAAGTAAACAGATCAAATATGTTACAAAAATGTTTGAGTTAGTGTTTATAGAACTGCCTTTATAATGCACATTTACTCCTTCTGGTAACCTCATCAAATCTGCAACTAAAATGGCCAATTATTAGAATAATTTAAAATTTCCCTTATACTTGAAACAGTAATATCACTTATATTTACAATAATTGATCAAGAAACAACATTCTTACTGATTTAAAATACAATTTACGTAACCAATTCAGTAACGGGAATTCTCTAATTTTCTTTCGATATTTACAAACAAAACTGGAAAAATAATTATTTAAAAGTCAAACTGAATTTCAATATAATTATCAAACAACATAGTATAGGCCTACGATATAAAGTTGCGTTGAACTTCGTAGTTTGAAATGTAAAACAATTCATTTAACAGTTTAACATGCGCGCTGCGCTGATTTTAAACACATTTTACACACTCTGAAACACTTTATTCTAAAAATAATTTGTAGATATTTACAGAAAATATAAATGACAAAGGAAAAATTATATGTTTACGTAATCAAACTTTGAAATATATGCAGATATTCTATTTTAATAAGTTTACTCTAAAAACCGTGTTATCTGCAATTTTCCTTGCAATTCTCACGAATCCGAAAAAAATAATTTTAGTAATTTAGCAGCTAATGAATGAGAATTCTCTCCTTTTATACAAAATACTACTAAACTATACGTATTATCATTGCAAAACAATGATTATTGTAGGCAAAACGTCTTGCCATGGCACTTTATACTGTTAAGTATTAGTATACTGACCCTACATAGCAAATATATTTATCAAACTGTATTGTTTTAAACATTCAAATATTCTTTGTTTTAACTAGTACGGATGTATATTTTGTATATAAAGAGTGAGGAACAACATAGGAAAACATTCATATACTTAACGGATTCCCTCCCTCAAGATTTTGTACAGATTTGTAGGTGTGGTGTTGATGTACAAAATCTTATTGATTTATCTGTTGTCGTTTAGAAAATATTAAGCCCGTGCGGGACTTAGGTTTGTGATCATTGCCAAGGAAACCCCTCTAAGGCTAAATAAAACTGGTTCGTCAAGGACATTAAATATATGTATCCATAAAAGTCAAGTGATTTTAGAAGACATCGTGAGGGTTTCCAATAGTTACACAATATTTGAGTTGACTCTTTTAAACTCATCGGAAATTATTACTGTTATTAGTTTTTAAATATATTCTGTAATACCGTACTTTGCAATTAGTTGAATTCGAGCAACATGTACACTAATTAATATGATTATTTCAATTAAAGAACATTTACAATCGTGTTTATGGGTGGCCGTGCGATGACGTCAATTGACCTTTAATGTTGAAGTGTTGCGTTTAATTCTCTATATTTTTGTAGTCACTGTATTATTAATTGTATTCTTAAATCAATATAATTAAAATTCTAGATAACTCTAGCACAATGTTCCTGCGTTAATTTGATTTTAATCTAAAATAAACAAACATAAGATCTTTGCTTCACAAAACTAAATCCTAGGCGTTGCGTTAAGCAAGTGAAGTCCAGCTTCTTTCTGAGGATACTCCGAGGACTGAACAAGAAGAGCAGGAAGAGCCATGAAAGGTTGATCATTGACTATGGTCGGCAAATATAAAAGTATGGCAATCAATAATTGATCGTTCAAATAGATTTACTAATACACCGATGTTTTGCAATACCATACGGCCATTGATTATGATGCGTACTAATAATGCTGCTTGAATTTCAAGGCCAACAAAGGATAAACAACATTCTATTAAAATTAGTGTACCGAAACCTATTGTTTACAATATTTTACAAACCAATTACTGAATAGTGGAGTTGTGACGAAATAAGTAAATTTATCATGTAGAGTTTCTTGGCGTTGAGGTTGGTTATAGTGCCACCTAATTTGTCATGTAGAGTTTCTTGGTGTAGAGGTTGGTTATAGTGCCACCTAATTTGTCATGTAGAGTTTCTTAGCGTTGAGGTTGGTTATAGTGCCACCTAATTTGTCATGTAGAGTTTCTTGGCGTTGAGGTTGGTTATAGTGCCACCTAATTTGTCATGTAGAGTTTCTTGGCGTTGAGGTTGGTTATAGTGCCACCTAATTTGTCATGTAGAGTTTCTTGGCGTTGAGGTTGGTTATAGTGCCACCTAATTTGTCATGTAGAGTTTCTTGGCGTTGAGGTTGGTTATAGTGCCACCTAATTTGTCATGTAGAGTTTCTTGGTGTAGAGGTTGGTTATAGTGCCACCTAATTTGTCATGTCGAGTTTCTTGGCGTTGAGGTTGGTTATAGTGCCACCTAATTTGTCATGTAGAGTTTCTTGGTGTAGAGGTTGGTTATAGTGCCACCTAATTTGTCATGTCGAGTTTCTTGGCGTTGAGGTTGGTTATAGTGCCACCTAATTTGTCATGTAGAGTTTCTTGGCGTTGAGGTTGGTTATAGTGCCACCTAATTTGTCATGTAGAGTTTCTTGGCGTTGAGGTTGGTTTAGTGCCACCTAATTTGTCATGTAGAGTTTCTTGGCGTTGAGGTTGGTTATAGTGCCACCTAATTTGTCATGTAGAGTTTCTTGGCGTTGAGGTTGGTTATAGTACCACCTAATTTTTAAAAGGTTGCCGGTTCGACCCTGAGGAACATCAAGTATTTCTTTACGATTTGTAACTGGACACAGCCTGATCATCTTAATACATTGTCCTGGCTAACCGATCAGCTGATCTTACAGTAGCAAAGATCATCTCACTCCATTCTACAATCACCTTGTATTCACATTCAGCTTATAATACACAATTAAAGTAACTCATCGCTGCATTGATAAATTCATTATGTGATTTTGCTTGTATAATCATTAGGTTATAGGTAATAGTTCATTTATAATGTCGTGAGCTGTACGTAAGTGTTTTTAAAATGACCATGTGTGTTAAAAGTGTCATTATGTAGGCTTCTGTTAGCTTGTTCAGCTGCCCTATGCATTACATTCTGGAGGAATCAAAATATTCAAACTTATTGTCTCATTTAAAGTATTTCTGGGTAACCTCAACCTGTGGACCGACCCAGACCAGTGAAGTTTACTGGGATTCAGCTTTTTAATTTTGTATAACAAGAAAATAAATAATATTTTATCTTTAATAAAACATTTTGTTGTACTCTTTACTGTTACAAAAGTTCGTGTTTTTTACAAGTAAGTCGACGAAAGATACAATATCAACTTAGTATTCACTATTAGTATTCCGAATAGTGAACTCAAAATGTCGAGAACATAATACAAACAAGTCTTACCAAAAAATTACACTTCGTCCATAATATTAAAAGAATCCAGTTATCAAACTGATTTTGCAGCCAGAATTTTGCAAGTCCTGTAATACCAAAGGTCATTGTTATAAAAAGATGAAAAGGTCAAGGAAGTTCAAGGGGAGTGAAGCGTCAGGATTTGATAACCCAAGATATCGAGACCTTGTGCTCGTAGGCTGACAACCAAGTGTTGGGCGATTGATACATTGTAATCGGACAAGTGACTTGAGCAGGATATGGTACATTTAATAATAAATACGTTGAAATTTGTACACTTAAGTTTAAACTCCGACCTACACCAAAGTACGTCATATTTCTAACAGTAATAAGTTCTGATTTAATTATTTCTATAAAAAAGTCTTCGATAAAAACTATTTTCACTAGTTCATTTGACTGAAATCCATTTTTAACATTTAAATAATACTACTGATAGGCTTCTATTGTTTCAACCTCATAGGGTAATTTGTTTACAATTTGTCAGACTCTACTTTATTTATTCATATATGTTCTATGTTGACAGTGATAAGTCATTAAGCATGGGTACCTCACACTTGTTATGTTATGCAGTCACTTGGTTGTGCCATCAACACTTTGTAGTGTACCTACATCGATTACCGTCGTATAACCAACGGTCAAGGATCGTGTAATACAGTGTACACTTTCAATATACATAATTATTATTATGTAGATGGAGAACTGGTTTTAAGAAATTATTTATTGGCACACCAGTTGGTACAAAAGATCCCCTCTTGTTATTTTTAAATTTAATGGTAGACTGTGTGCTGAACCTCGCCTGGTCATGAGAAGAGTCAGTAGCTTTTCGATGGTTCGAAACTGGACCTAGCTTAGTTCCCTTGATCATTGGGCTTAAGTAAATGGTGTTTGATAAAACCCAATCTTAGTCAATAACAAAGTTATCATAATCATCTTATACATTCAATATTCACATTTGCCCATAAATACGCCTCCTGGTGAGTTGGCGAGTATCCAATATATTTTCGTCTGTTTCTAATCACATGTCTTCATGTCTTGATTCAAAATCCAATTTCGCTTGCGTACATATTTGTTCCTTCATGCATTTTTCTTTCTTTGTGCTCGACAAACGTTTATACAGAACGAAATTTGCATCGTTGAATCATCCTACTCTTCACCTAA